TTCTTTTTGTTTATTTATTTTTGGCTGTGCTGGATCTTCGTTGCTCTGTTTGGGCTTTCTCTAGTTGCAGTGAGCAGGGGCCGCTCTCTGGTTTTGGTTCACGGGCTTCTCCTTTCGGCAGCTCATTCTGTACAGCCCTCGGTGTGCAAGCTTCAGTAGTTGCAGCATGTGGACTCAGTGGTTGTGACTTGGGGCTCTAGAGCGTGGGCTCACTGGTTGTGAGTCTCACAGAGTCGGACACGATTGAAGCGACAGCAGCAGCAGCAGCAGTTGGAATTTATTGAGTAAATGCTTTGAATTATAATCTTATAAACATAAGTTATATAGCTTATTAAAAGCAGCCAGCTGATGACTCCTTGGAAACATTTATTTTTGGCCCTATCTGGTCTTAGTCGAGGCATGTGAACTCTATAATTGCCACACGTGCGCTTAGTTACCCCGTGGGCATATGGAGTCTCAGTTCCTTGACCAGGGATTGAATCTGAATCTCCTGCAGTGGAAGGTGGATTCTTAACCACTGGATCACCAGGGAAACCCCACATTGGAAGCATTTAAGTGTAATTTGCTACATTTGTGTTTCCTATGACATCAATTCACTGAGTTAGGAGTTGGAGCTCCTAACTGAAAGTGCATAAAGAGTTAGTCTTTCTTTGTTGTTACCATGAACAGAGTTATCACTTATCCAAATAATCTATTTTTGTCTACTTTTCGTTAAAATTGTTTCATTTGGGGGGGGGAGTGATTTTCATCTTAGAGGATTTTTAGGCATTTCATATTCCCATCTCCAGAAGTCGCTTTCTAGATTTGGATTTTCTTTTGAGTAGTAGATCCCCTACATACCAAAGAGTTTCATTCCCAGAGTGCATTTGTAAATCCAGTTTGTTTGTAAGTCCAATAAAGCTGGCCTGGGTTCCCAACTCACACTATCAGCTAAAATGTATTTGCACTTATTAGGTTTATAATACTTTTCACACAGATAAAACATAAAAAGCAAACAAACACAAAAAATAAAGCATGTTTAATCTTAACAGTACAGCACCCTGAATGGTATAGTAGTCTAGGGCAGCAGCTGGCCTGCAGGGCCTGGCGTTGAGTGAACAGGCGAGAAGGGTCACTCGAGAAGGGAGAGGAGGCAGGAGGTGGTAGAGCTGCAGGATTGCTAGCAATAGGAAATGGACGGCAAGCTGCAGTTACACCTGACATTGAGGGAACACGTTTGCATCTTTGAAAGTTCTCGACTTGAAGGCTCATATGCAGAGGACTTAACTGTGTTACAGAGAAAGGCCTTGTATTTCTTCCCAGGCACTGTTCCTGCAATTCAGGTGGGTGCTCCTAGCTGGTTTCTTCACATCCATGAAACATGCCCTCAGAGCTCAGGGCATAACCAAGTTGTTCAAGAAACTAGAATTTTTACTTGCTGTCATTGTATTTCTGACATGCATATCCTGACATGGGCTTCCCCTGTGGTTCAGCGGTAAAGAATCCACTGCGGTGCAGGAGACACAGGAGATGTGTGTTCAATCCCTGCGTCGGGAAGATTCCCTGGAGGAGGACATGACAAACCAAACCATGGAGAATCCCATGGACAGAGGAGCCTGGCAGGCTGCAGTCCATGGAGTCCCAAAGAGTCCGACATGACTGAAGTGACTGAGCGTGTGTGCATATGTCCTTACATATCACATTTTGCATGTAAATCTCAAGGAACAGTGGTTGTCTTTTAATTTTCCTTTTGATAATTCTGTTTATTTTTTATGGCTGCGCTGGGTCTTGGTTGCGATGCGGGCTTTTCTCTAGTCGCGCGGGGGCTATTCTAGCCTCTGTGCCCAGGCTTCTCACCACGGTGGCGTCTCCTGTTGTGGACCGTGGGCTCTAGGCGCGTAGGCTTCAGCGGCTGGAGCACGCAGGCCCAGTGTTGGGGTGCACAGGCTTATGGGATCGTCCTGGACCAGAGGGTGAGCCGGTATCCCCTGCATTGGCAGGCGGACTCTACCTCTGAGCCACCAGCGAAGCCCGGTCTTTTAGTTTTGACATGAGATCTGCAGCTTTCTGCTGGCTTCTTAGGAGAGCCATTTTGAATCTTCCATTTTATCTGACAATGAAGTCTTGCCTATTTATGTGCAACAACAGGACAATGGCTTTTAGTGCCCTTGCAGCCTGAAAGCTTCACATTTTATTCTATACACCAGCACCTTATTCAGAATGTTTGTTATTTATTTTTCTTGCCTCACTGTCCTGCCTGAAGCCTCTAGTATAACATTCAATAAAAGTGGCAAGACCAGACCTTCTTTCTTGTTCCTGATCTAAGGGAAAAACATTCTCTTTCACCATTATGTATGATGTTCACTGCAGGTTTTTCACAGATGCCCTTTATCAAATTAAGGAAATTTTTTCTCCCTAGAGTTTTATCGTGATAGCTTATTGAATTTTATGAGTTTTGTTCATTTTACTAATGTGTATTACATTGATTGATTTTCAGATATTAAGCTAACCTTGGATTCCTGGGATGAATCCCAGTTGGTCATGGTATCTCATCTTTCTTATTTGTTTCTGGATTTAATTTGCTAATATTTTGGTGAGGATTTTTGCATCTATATTTATAAGGGTTATTGGTCTATAGTTTTCTTGTGCTGTTGTGTCTGGCCTTGATATAAGAATAATATTAGCCTCAAAGAGATTTGGGAGTTGTTTCCTCCTCCTCTATTTTGGTAAAATTAGTGAAGAACTGGTCTTAAGTCTTCTTTAAATGTTTGGTAGAATTCACTTGTGAAGCCATTTGGACTTGGGCTTTTCCTTATGAGAGTGTTAAAATATTAATTAAATTTCTTCCCTTGTTACAGATCTATTCAGATTGCTTATTTCTTCTTGACTTAGTTTTGGTAGTCTGTGTCTTTCTAGGAATCTGTTGACATCATTTATCTAGTTTTTGGACAAATAGTTGTTCACAGTATTCCCTTATAATTCATTTTATTTCTGTAAGGTCAGTAGTTATGTCTTTTGTTCTTAATTATGATAATTTGAGTCTTCTTTTTTTTCTTTTTTGGTCAGTCTAACTAAAGGATTGTCAACTATGTTTATATTTTCGAAGAACCAACTTTGATTTCATTGATTTTTCTCTTTTATTTTTCTATTCTGTTCTTCTGTTTCATTTATTTCCCTCCAATCTTAATTCTTCCTTCTTTTTGCTTCCTTTGGTTTAGTTTTCTCTTCTTTGTTATTCCCCAATGCAAAAGTTTAGGCTATTTATTTGATATCTTTCCTCTTTTTAAAGGAGAGCATTAACAGCAAAAAAATTTCCGTTTAAGCACTGCTTTTGCTGCATGCCATAAATCTTGGTGTGTTGTGTTTTTGTTTTCATTTATCACAAAGTTTTTTCTAGTTTCCCTTGTGATTTCTTCTTTGATTCATTCGTTATTTATGAATTTGGTGTTTAATGTTCATGTGTTTGTCAATTTCAAAAACTTCCTTTTGTTATTGATTTCTATTTTAATTCCAGGTGGTCAGAGTATATGCTTTGTATGATTTCATCCTTCCAAGTTTATTAAGGCTCATTTTACTGCCTAACACATGATCTGTTCTGGAGAATGTTCAGTGTACAATTGCAAAGTATGAGTATATTGTGTTTTGGATGGAATATAAAAGTCTGAATATAAAAGTCTATAAAAGTCTGTTTGGTCTAATTGGTTTGTAGTTTTGTTCAAGGTTTGTTATTGTGTTTTGTTGCTAGCCTTCTAAGAAAACTAATCTAAGAAACACTAGAATGCAATCTAAGGGAAACTAGGAAATGAAATAAAACTTTTCTAAAGTCTGAATCAAAATGTCAGAAGTAACTGCAAAATGCTGCAGCTTTAATTTTTTGTAGGAAGCCACCACAGACTTCCTTAGTTCAGGCAGAACCATAACAGACAGAAGTAATAGTCCAGCTGGGGAGAGTGTGGGCGTTTGTGGTTGGTGTCTCTCTCACACACATGCACACACACACACCCCTCTAATACCTTCTGGTGCAAGATAGGATAACAAGTTAACTAACCCAGAGGGATATAATACCATAATTGTAAAAGTTTTAAATGTATGTACAGAAAACTGATAACAGTGTTGCTTTCTTCTTGTCAATTCTCACCTTCGTATTTTAGTATTTTTGATGATGTTTAACAAAATCTGAGAAGCAAGATATATCCATAGTCTCCAGTATCTCCCCCAACATAGTTATTACTTTAAAATAATTAATAATAATTTTATAGTAGAGAAACCTGAAGACACCACCTTAGCCAGGGGCTCAAGATTAATATCACCAGCAATAAGACATGGGCATCACGAACCTCTTGATATTATACACTGTCTGAAAAACAAGGAAATATTGAGGAACATCAGATTAGTGGAAATTAAGGAGAAATAACGAGTAATTGGGAGAAGGCAATGGCATCCCACTCCAGTACTCTTGCCTAGAAAATCCCATGGACAGAGGAGCCTGGTAGGCTGCAGTGCAAGGGGTCGCTAAGAGTCGGACACGAATGAGCGGCTTCACTTTCACTTTTCACTTTCACGCACTGGAGAAGGAAATGGCAACCCACTCCAGTGTTCTTGCCTGGAGAATCCCAGGGAAGGGGAGCCTGCTGGGGTGCCGTCTATGGGGTCGCACGGAGTCGGACACGACTGCAGCGACTCAGCAGCAGCAGCGGCAGCAGCAATAGTTTAAGATAGGTGCTGATGGACTGCCCTGTCAGTCCAGTGGTTGAGACTACACACTTCTATTGCAAGGGTGCGTGGGTTCAATCCCTGGTCAGGGAACTAAGATCCTGCATTCCACATGTTTTTTGTTTAAAAAAAAAAAATAGATGCTCATATTTTAAGTGAACAAAGGTATGTTTGTATATTCGATCATTAGAAAGCTCTTTCATGTACGGAAATTTGTAACCATTCAATGAAAATGAAACTGAGCTTTAGAAATAAACCTTATGAACAAGGTATTTATTTTCACAATGTAAGAAAGAAAAAAAAAAATGTTGTTAAGAACATAACAGTTATAACTTACTTCTCTTATTTCTCTTTCAGGAGCGGCCTCGAATCCTATAGAGCAGAGTCATCGGGGAAAAGAATTTCCAAACATGTTACAAAAGGTAGAATGTGTGTGCATAGATAATGACCCTTGAACCCTGTTGCATCTATAATCGAGTGTAAGGAGTGAAGCTATCAGGCAGAAAAATGCTGTTATTTGCAGCTACTTTTTTAAAGCCAGGAAAGCTTTTGTTCTCATTCTTCTTCACTTATTTAGGAATTTAGGAGATTGTGTGTTAGTCACCCAGTCATATCTAACTCTTTGCAACCTCAGGGACTGTAGCCCGCCAGACTCCTCTGTCCATGGGATTCTCCAGGCCAGAATACTGGAGTGGGTTGCCATTTTTTGGTAACTGTTTGAAGAGTTGAGAGCTTTCTCCTCTTAGTGATCTGTCAGAGATGAGTCATAGAACATTTAAAAGTACTGTGAATTATATATTTGTCTTAATTTTTAGTTTTCCTGTTCTAGTTGACGTTTTGCATGTTACTGTTAGTTTTTATTAAAGCAAATTAGAGATAATCAGTTTTATAGGAGTAGAAGTCATTTAAAATTGACTATAATTGACTGTGACATTGATACTTGAGTTTTTAGTGTTTGTGTGGAAGTCTGTGTTGGTGTGGAAGCCTTAAATATATATGGCAGTGAATACTGTTGAATAGAATAAAATAACTTTGCATTCTACTAGCTTTCTTCTAAATTAGATTCCATTTTCTTGCACTGTATAGTCCCAGGGGTAGCTTTGGATTTCTGTTGAGGTTCTGTTCTTTCTAGACTTATGAAATTGAATTATTTTAGTATGTATTTCTTCTCTTAGGAAACAGCCAATGTCACAGTGGATAATATTCTTATTCCTGAACGTAATGAAAAAGGTAAAAAAAAAAAAAACCCAACTTTCCTTTAAATCATGCTTTCCTTTAAGTAAATTCATGAATTCCTTTAAGTGAAATTTAGACATATCCAATAAACATGGTAACCATTAATATGCAGATTCAGGATAAATTTTTCATAGATATCAAAATATTCTCAATTTTGACCAATCCATTGTTCTGATGGATGATATGTTGCTATTATACTACAAATTCATTGTCCAATAAAGAGCACAATTGTGGTTTCACTTATAATTTCATGACATTTGCTATTTTTATGTGTCATAGGAAGACATTTAAAAATTATGTTGAGTTTTGTATAGTTTTAGAAAATTTCATAGCACTTGTAGAGAAATCTTTAGAGGTAGTAATCTGTTGCTCTAATGACAAGGAAATAACCTTAGGAAAATTACCCCAGCTAAGTTGTCTGGCTGATCTCTTTGGAAAGGTGATAGAATCGCGGTGTAATTGTTTGAGTATCTAAGAAGCGATTTGCTCTGTGGGATGGTGGGAGCCAGGCCCCAGTGAGAGTGCAGAGAGCTCATGGTGGGCTCTGGTGTTGGCTGCTGGGCTGTCTCTACTGACTTTTCTCTGGACTCTGATTTGTTTCTAAGAGGGAAGCCTTGGTTCTTTGTAATGATGGCTGATTCTTAAAAAGCAAAAAGATAACTTATCTTCTCCCTACTTTCCTTCCTAAGGAATATTGCTAAAATCCTCCATCAGCTTTCACAACATCGTAGAAGAAACCAAAAATTTCCACAAAGACTTTTTAATCGGAGAAGGGGAAATTTTTGAGGTATACAGAGTGGAAATCCAAAACCGAACATATGCCATTAAATTATTTAAACAGGTATGGAAAGAATTACTATCACAGGATATCAATTCCATTTATTTGCTCATATTTCATATTAAAATGTGTCATTTTTCATCAGCATTGAAAGGAGGTGTACTTGAGAATAAAATTTCATAAATGGAAATAAGATATATGACCTCAGGTGACTGGAGAAATGACTGAGAAATGAATGCCTGTCTTGCAGGAATGTGGGAGTTAAATCCTTTCCCTCCCCAGGTGTATGGCCTGAGAAAGACTTTTCTGAGAAGCCTTGTAGGGCCATCGGGACTTTGCTTAAGATGGTCAGATTGTGTCAGTCTGCTGCAGGTTTTCAGGCCCTCTCCAGGCCGCTTCACAGACTAAACCATGGGCTGGTATTTGGTGCTGCTAAATTGTCTTCAGTTACAGTCCAGGAGAGCAGGAAAGAGGAGGCTTCAAGAGCAGCAAGGCAGCCGTCAGAGCAGGAGGTTGGAACACAGCTGAGAACAGCCAGGAAAGCAGAAAGGGTGTTGGGGGTCTGACTGGGCAGTCAGGCGGAGATAGGTTCATACATGCACACCAGAAGAGCTGGGCTTCACTGCTGGTCAGCAGCCAGCAAACTCGTCCTAAACTCCTTTAGGGCTGGCTACTGGGCAGAGATGAATCAAGCGTAGGTGTGTCCTCTAGGAGTTCCCATCTTCTGGGGAAAACAGGTGAAGAAATGATTAAGTTGCAGCGTGATAAGTACCTTAGCCGAGATTCGCCCTAAAGGTCATGGGAGCACATAGAAGACAGCCAGAGGAGAGGCCGGCGCTTCCAGCACCCGGAAGAATGCCCAGCACAGAGTAGCTACTCAATAAACGTGTCTGCAGTAATCCAGTGGACAAGTGGATGAAAGAAAGTGACCTCGCAGCTTGATTTTGAAGGACAGAGAGACTTTTGCCAGGCAGGGAGGGAAGATGGAAGATACAGCAGGTGCCAAGACCTAGGGGGTCATGCATGGGAGAGCATGTCTTTTCACAGATGTCAGACTGGTACGGCAGCATTTAGCGTGGCAGGGTTTGCTGTGAACGTAGTGGCAGCAGATGGTACTGGGAAGATAGGCCAAGTCCATTGGTGGTTCTAAGTAGGAGAGTGAAAGGACTAGATTTGTGTCTTGAAATATCCCTTTGATTCCAGGTTGGATGATGAACTGGAAATTGGCAGATGTCAGACTGGTACGGCAGCATTTAGCGTGGCAGGGTTTACTGTGAACGTAGTGGCAGCAGATGGTACTGGAAAGATAGGCCAAGTCCATTGGTGGGTCTAAGTAGGAGAGTGAAAGGACTAGATTTGTGTCTTGAAATATCCCTTTGATTCCAGGTTGGATGATGAACTGGAAATTGGCAGGGAAATTGGAGGGAAGATAGCAGGAATTAAACTAGAGGTGGAAAGACCTGGTAGAGGGTATGTCAGACGTGTAAACTGAAGTGGATAGGGCTGAAACCTGTATTCTCCAGTCTAATGTTAGAATCACCAGGAAGGTGTTTTGTTTTTTTTTTTTTGAAAGGAATATAATTGCTTTACAATGTTATGTTAGTTTCTGCTCTTCAATGAAGTGAATCAGCTGTATGTATATCAGCTGTGTGTATGCTAAGTCGCTTCAGTCGTGTCTGACTCTTTGTGACCCCATGTACTGTATCCCGCCAGGCTTCTCTGTCCATGGGATTCTCCAGGCAAGAATGCTGGAGTGGGTTGCCATGCCCTCCTCCAGGGAATCTTCCTGACCCAGGGATCAAACCTGTGACTCCTGCATTGCAGGCAGATTCTTTACCACTGAGCCACCAGGGAAGCCCCTCCGTGTAGCCACAGCAAAATAGCACTGTCTCTTAGTATCACCTTCTTTATCTGCCTCTCCCAGTGGACTTGATGGTTTTCTTTAGAGAGCTCTTATGTATGTTTGTATCTCAGTGCCTTATTACAGGGCATATAGTAGTTGTTCAATAAATGTTTGTTAGGTGAATTGAAAGAAGCACATATGCTGTCTTTATGCATTTAGTTGCAATTCACTATTAGTGAAAAGATAGAAGGTAGCAAAGTTATCCAAGCCTTAGAGGTTGAACAAAGTCCTATACACACATCAGGAAAAAATGAGATAATTTAATGAAGTTTTAGTCACAGGGCCTTTTATTTATTTATTTATTTTAACAAGAAATGGAGTTTTGTAACAATTGGGACCTTAACATCAGTAGCCTTTCTTAGAGGGCCTGAGGCCGGGAAATGTACTAGTGTGTTAGATTCATCCACATCACCTGGGATCTTACAGCACAGATTGTGATTCAGTGGGTTCAGGTAGCGACCTGAGACTTAGCCTTTCCCACCAGCTCCCAGAGAAGCTGGTGTTCCTCCTGCACAGAGCACAGTTTGAGCCTCAAGACTGGGAGGGGAGCATGAACACAAAAACTCACCCTTCGCGTTTTCAGGCTGAGAAAACTCGGACCCCAGGGAGGCTGAGCGACAATAAGTCACAAATAGTGAGTGTTAGAGGTAGGCCTGAGACACAGTCTGCTTGGTTCTCAGTACGGTGTTTTTTTTTTTAATCTAAATTCCCATAATGTGGTCCCTGAAAATGATTTGTTAGCCGAGTTTATTGTTTCTGACTTCTTGGGTTAACTTAGAAAATAGCTTCCAGGATTCCTGTTGGCTTTCTCTCCCTTTGTTCCTAAGGACAGAGAACTCTAAAAACTCTGCCCTTTTTAGCAATTTACATATGGTAACTGGAACACACTTTAACCCTTTCATGGGAGAAGTTAGGCATTTGAGGTTCAGAGACATGCAACGCTGTGAGATGTAGGAAGCCATCAAAGACAGTGCCAGGTACAGAAGAAGTCCTCCAGATAATATTATTGAATTCATTGATTTGTCCATATGTCAGGCACTGGGCTAGCTTCTGAAGCTTTTTTGAAGTAAAGAGTTAAATTTTTCATTTTTCTAGTGGACCTATTTTTTCAAAATTAATACAAAGGTAGACTTAAACCAACAGCCAAGTGACCCAAGTCATGAATGGGAAATTATTGAAATCACTTCTTTTTTTTTTTTTCATTTATATTTATTAGTTGGAGGCTAATTACTTTTGAAATCACTTCTAAGTAGGATCACAACCTGGGTTCTTTGAGACCAAGTGGGGAGTTTCTGTCATGAGATTTTTCTTTGACTACATAAAATATTTACAAATTTATGTAAATGTGAACGAAATAAGGTGAAAGCATTTAAATATAAAATGTAGCAATCTGATACGTTTCATGAAAAACTTCTAATTCAAAAGCAGCGGTTCTAAATCAGTTTTGGCGTTAATGAGTTTTTGAAAGACTGATACAAGCTAAGGATCTTCTCCCCAGAAAAACGTTCACATGTGTTTATACCAAAAAGTATCTAATTTCATAGACCCCAGGTTAAGAGTACCAGAAGTAGATCCTTTATTTATTTATTTTTTCTTGTTTTTCTGTATTTAGGGGAAAAAGATGCAGTGTAAGAAACAATGGAAGAGGTTTTTGTCTGAGCTTGAAGTTTTACTATTGTGAGTATATTGCTTGAAATTTCTCCCCTTGTGCCTGGCTTTCATCTCTGTTCATCTTTGATTCTACAGCACAGAGCTTGGCATGGCTGACATTTAATAAATGCGGGTTGGAGGTTAGAACACTGGGTAAATTTTTGACATCTGCTTTAGTATATTCTTTGGAATACATTTTAAAATAGACCATTTACATAATTCACTTGAGCATATTTTAACAAGAAACTGTCACAGGGAAGTGGATTAAATCATGTGTGACTAACATGACTGAATGGGAAATGATTCTTAGAACATTAGAATTGTATATATTTTACCATCGCTCCTCTTTCTTAAGAGACATTCCAGTCAAGAAACTGTTTCATCAATATAAACCTCTTCTGGAAGAGAGTTTAGACAAAGAAATCAAGTGCTTTTGATGTGCATATTATTTTCTGGGAATTCATTCACGAGCCTGAAAGTCCTTGGAGACAAACTAAAATGACTTCATTTTCATATATATTCATATCTGCAGCTGTGCAGCCTGCTTCATCGAAGGCCCCTAACCCTATAGAGTTCAGTCATCACCCTTTACGGATAGAAAATGTTCTTTTCAGATGTTTTCTAAACCAATATGTGAATTCAGGGGAGGGAGGTATTATCCTAAATTCTTTTCCTTTTATACCCAAGACCAGAAATCAAAATGTTACAGGCTAAGCATAAAAACTTAATATATTATTTAGTCAACAAAAAAAACTAAAACCAAAATTGTAATAAGAAAGCTTTTATATTTAAGCTTTGTTTCTTTGCTTATGAATAAATAATAAGTTCAGACACTCCAGAATTCCAAAAGGGCAGAAGGGTAAGCCAAGAAGAGAGTTTCTTCCATACTCTCATCCAGCCACCCAGCCACTTTCCCCAAGGGCAACAGTGTTATCAGTTTCCTGCATATCTTTCCAGAAATATTTTATTTGTAAGCATATATTTATTTTGTTTTCTTACTTTCCTCTTCTCACACAAGAGGCAGCATGCACACATTGTTTATGTTGCTTATTTTAGTATTCCACTGTGTGCTGTGGCTTCCCTGATAGCTCAGTTGATNAAAAAAAAAAAATCCTCCTGCAATGCTGGAGACTCTAGTTCAATTCCTGGGTCAGGAAAATCCCCCGGAGAAGTGATAGGCTACCCACTCCAGTATTTTGGGGCTTCCCTGTGGCTCTTCTGGTAAAGAATCTGCCTGCAATACGGGAGACCTGGGTTCGATCCCTAAGTTGGGAAGATCCCCTGGAGAAGGAAAAGGCTACCTACTCCAGTATTCTGTCCTGAAGAATTCCATGGACTATATAGTCCGTGGGGTTGCAAAAAGTAGGACATGACTGAGCGACTTTCATTTACACTTTTGTGTGCCTGTGCTATAGCATAACTAACCATTTTCCCATCAATGGATTTTTAGATTTTTCCTAATCTTTTACTTAAAATAAGGCTACAGTGAGAAAACCTTGTATATTGTTATTTTGTACGTGTTGAAGTATATCTAAGAAAACTTCATATAAATAAACTTATAGGGTCATGTTCCATGCCACCACAATGTAGAAACTATACTAGTTTACAGTTAACACCAGTCATATATAAGAGTGCTTGGTTCCCTATATTCTTGCCAATATAGCATTTATTCTTTCAGTTTTTTCTGATCTGCTAAGTGGACATGGTTTTTCAGTGTAGTTTAAATTTCTTTTTCTATGATGAATGAATCTTTTCACATATAAAGAGATTTATTTCCTTTTCTATGAAATATCTGTTAATGTCCTTTGTCCACTTTTTATTAGACTGTTGGATTTTTTTTTTTAAATCTGTTTTTGCTGCTGCTAAGTTGTATCAGTTGTGTCTGACTCTGTGCGACCCCATAGACGACAGCCCACCAGGCTCCCCCAACCCTGGGATTCTCCAGGCAAGACTGGAGTGGGTTGCCATTTCCTTCTCCAGTGCATGAAAGTGAAAAGTGAAAGGGAAGTCGCTCAGTTGTGTCCAACTCTTAGCCACCCCATGGACTGCAGCCTAGCAGGCTCCTCTGTCCATGGGATTTTCCAGGCAAGAGTCCTGGAGTGGGGTGCCATTGCCTTCTCTGAATCTGTTTTTGATTGGAGGATAATTGCTTTACAATACTGTGTTGCTTTCTGCCACACATCAACATTAATCAGCCATACATATACATATGTCCCTTCCCTCTTGAACTTCCCTCCCACCTCCCACCCCATCTGACCGCTCTAATTTGTAACTAGAGGGAGGTTGAGCTCCCTGCATCATGCAGCAAATTCCCGCTGGCTATCTGTTTTAATATAGTATTGCGTCTGTCTCAATGCTTCTCTCAGCTTTCCCCATCCTTTCCTCCCCCAACTGTGTCCACAGGTCTGTTCTCTATGTCTGCATCTCTATTACTGCCCTACAAATAGGTTCATCAGTACCATTTTCCTAGATACCCTTCACTTTCATATATGTGTTAATATACGATATTTGTGTTTATCTTTCTGACTTACTTCACTCTGTATAACAGGCTCTGGGTTCATCCACCTCACTGCAACCGACCCGAGTTCATTCCATTTTATGGCTGAGTAATATTCCATTGTACATATGTACCACAACTTCTTTATCCATTCATCTAGATTGCTTCCATGTCCTGGCTATTATAAATAGTGCTGCAATGAATACATGTATCTTTTAGAATTGGGATTTGCTCAGGGTATATGCCCAGTAGCAGGATTGCTGGGTCATATGGTAGTTTTATTCCTAGTTTAAAGAAATCTCCATACTGTTCTCCATAGAAACTGTATCAATTTACATTCCCACTAACTAGACTGTTGGGTTTTTTCCTTAATAGTTTGTCAGAGCATTTCATATATTAGAGAAAATTAGCCTTATTTTTATGTTTTAAGATACAAATAATTATTTTTACCCCATTTTCATTTGTTGTTGCTTATTCTAGTTTTTTGCCATTTGGAGATGGTTCTCATGTAGTTGAATTTAATCTATATATTTTTTTTATGGCTTCTAGGTTTTATATTATAGTTTAAAGACCTCCCCAACTGAGAGGTTTTAAAATAATTTTGCCATTTTTTCAAGTACCTTTATATTTTCACTTATATACCTAATCCATTTGGATTTATTCTGCTGAGGCATTTATGTATTAACTTTAGAGAGAACTAACAACATTATGGCATTGGGTGTTTCTGGTATGCCATCATTGTCATTTATGTTGCTAATATTTCTTTAGTTTTAACCCTATGCCAAGTGCTTCATATGTATTCATTCTTTAATCCTCACAACAGGCCTGAGGTGAGTCCTGTTATTATCCTCATTTTGTAGATGAGGAAACTGAGTTAGATGCTACTTTTTTTTTTTTTTTTTGCAAGGTCCAACTTATTTCCTAAATCATACTCACCCTTTCTCTTCTTAGACTTTTACAGGTAAATAAGTCAGAGGTGTTAGAACATACTGTCTGGAGTGGAATTAGGAGTGAAGTGCACAAACAACAGATAGTTTCAGTGAGTTAAATAATAAGCAGGTACAGAGGGCCGAGGACTTCCCTGATGGGAAAGGATCCTTCAGTGGTAAAGGATCCGCCTGCAATGCAGGAGACATGGATTCAATCCCTGGGGTCAGAAAAATCCCCTGGAGAAGGAAGTGGCAACCTACTCCAGTATTCTTGCCTGGGAAATCCCGTGGACAGAGGAGCCTAGTGGGCTACAGTCCATGGGGTCACAAAAGAGTCGGACATGACCGAGCGTGCTCACACACACCCAGAGTGCTGAGGGAGGAGGAGATGCTAACTTGGGGGTGGGGCGGGTGGCAGAGTAGACATCTTGGAAAAAGTAAAATCTAAGCTGAGACCTGAGCATGAGTTTTTTTGGATTAATGGATTGTGTATGTGTTTATGTACACACACACACACACATGTACACACATACATACACCCACACTCCCTTTCTTGAAGTAGGAACAGAGGGACTCAGAAGGGATATATATGTGGATTCTCCAGGCAAGAACACTGGAGTGGGCTGCTGTGCCCGCCTCCAGGGGCTCTTCTGAACCCATGTCTCTTATGTCTCCTGTACTGGCAACTGGGTTCTTAGCCACCAGCACCACCTGGGAAGCCCATCTGTTAGAATGCTGTAAGCCCGTTTGGAAGGAAAACAGTCATGTGTCCAGTGAAAGTCCCTCTCCCTCGGCCAAATTTATATTCTGCTTTATGCCTGTTCCACAGCCCACCTTACCGCCCCCCAAACAGTGTTGTTCATTTCCTATTTGAATAACCAGTTTGACAGACCTAAAAAATCTTTTGTTTCAAGGTTCCGTCATCCGAACATACTGGAGTTGGCTGCATATTTTACAGAGAGTGAGAAGTTTTGCCTGGTTTATCCATATATGAGAAATGGATCACTTTTTGACAGATTACAGTGTGTGGTAAGTCATATCCATCCCTCTGCCTGATATTCTGACCCTCTAAGCCCTGGGGGAGCTGCTGAAACCTTCTGAGAGAACCAGGAGGCCAACATGTGTTCATGTTGGGACGCCGACAGTGGGTTTCCCGAGGATGTAGAGGACTTCTCCATGAATTAATTTCTTACTCTTAGAAGGTTGCATAAATACCCGAGTTGTTGTGTGTTGTGCTAAATGGTGGTCAAAAGAGTTTCTGGGTCCTCATTCCTCACTGGTACCATGTCTCAAATGAGTTTATGTCAACTACCATTATTTCCCAGGTAATTTTTATTCGCATAACTTTATGCAAAGTACCATTCAATATGAAGGGTAGACATAAAAGTGATACCTATATCACTTAAAAAGAAGGAGGTTGAATAAATGCCATGGTTTCTCTTATGATGTTTTTGAAAGAGAAGTTAAAAAACATATTCCAAACATGTAAAATTGCAGTTACGATGAGGATAAAAACAGATTATTCTTAATTACCCACACTGTTGTACCACAAATAATCTAAAAATCTTACACAATGAAATTTTAAGCATAGTTATCTTATTAGCCATATTTCAATTTACATGACATTAAAATTATTGGATATTTCCATTGCCTATAAAGGGACCTAGAACCAGCATGGGTAGTAGAGGAAAATCCATCTTGGATTAGAAATAGGTTATGGTTAACTAAAATATTGATTCACCCACCTCTCCCCACTTTGTCTTTAGAGTTTGTTCTGGCATGCACCTAGGTAATGAATACAAACATGGTTTTTACTCAGAAAATACAACGAAACCAACCATGTTGTCTTTTCAGGGTAACACAGCCCCACTCTCTTGGCACATTCGAATCAGTGTATTAATAGGAACATGTAAAGCCATCCAGTACTTGCACAACACAGAACCGTGCTCCGTCATCTGTGGCAGTATATCCAGGTAAATTATCCCAGAGCTCTAGGTTACACCTGAAGGCTCCTTTCACCATCCCTGGTAAGTCAGACTTCACCCTATTTTCTGTCTGTAGTTTCCCTGGTATGTATCTGTATGTGTTAAGAATCCTCATGAAAGTATTTAAAATCTTAGCTTTTTAATGAAAACACATCTATCGGATTTTAAAAGCTACATTTGTATTGCCAATGGAAGAGTTTATATTATTTTTAGGAATTATTGATGAGCAGTGTAGGATAGGCAGTTTTCTGTGTTTTATTAATCATTCTGCATAACAAACTGTGAAACAATCTGCTGTATTCATTGCACTTGAAAAACAAAAAGTCTAAGAAAAGATTAAGTGGCTTATACAGGGATTCTTCACAAGATTAACAGTAGTGATCGGCAGTTGAAGTTCTTTGTCCTTGAGTCTCCAGCGTCTTGCATCGCCACTGAGCCTGCTGCCTCCTAGCTGCACATGTTCCCCGTGACAAGCCGAGCAGCCCTCCCAGCGTTCCTTCTTGATCCGTGAGAAGATGAGAAACAACATCTTCCATCTTTTGCCCCCTTCAGCCGACATGAATCTTTCAGACAGAGAGTAGATACCCTCCAAACCTCCACCCACTGTGAATTTTTCCCGTGTGCCCTTCATGATGGACTTGTCCCAAAATAAATATACCTTTGCTGAGTAGCAGGGTAGACTGGATTTAAAAGGCTCTGCCTCTTCTGAGCCATCATCTAGTGTCTTTGAAAAAGCTTTTAGTGTGCTTTTCCGGTTGAGCAGAAGAGGAACTGATTGCTTACTTCTTTGTTTTTCTGGAGAAGTGAACTTCATATAAAAAGCCTCTGGATTTTACTTCATCCTGGGGGAGTGGCGGCAGTGGGGACATAGGCACTCGGTAGCTTCTCCTGTTGGGAAAGTGAAACTGTTAGTCACTCAGTCACATCCCACTCTTTGCGAACCCATGGACTGTAGCCTGGCAGGCTCCTCTGTCCATGGGATTTTCCAGGCAAGGATACTGGAGTGGGTAGCCATGCCCTTCCCCAGGGGATCTTCCTGGCCCAGGGACTGGACCTGGGTCTCCCACATTGCAGGCAGATTCTTTATCATCTGAGCCACAAGGGAAGCCCCACTTTCTCCTGCTGCAGTGTGGTAATTCACCAACTGCCAGTGACCGTATAGAATCAGCATAAAATTGGTGCAGCCTCAGGGGAGCTGGGACACAGATGGATGGTGAAAGTCTCAGAGGTCAGTGGAATCAACCACTGAGGTTGGTTCCGGAGGGCTAAGGTGGCCGCCCGTAACCTAAAACAATCCCTCTTCTACCCAGCTCGTAGCCCGCCCAGCATTATAGGTGCTCAAATATATGTTCAAACTGAATTGTTGTTCAGTCACTAAGTCATGCCCAGCTCTTTGTGACCCCATGGACTGCAGCATGCCAGGCTTCTCTGTCCTTCTTACTGGGTAGATAAATAAATAAGTGGAATTTCTTCTTTTGTTTTAATTTCTTCCTTTGGTGCTTGATGGGAAAAGGGGATAGGGAAGTCCACCGATCGGAGCCCAAGTGAACATTAGGGTGAAGGACACAGATTCAGGCTCTGTCTGAGTCACAGGGCTTCCCTGGGGACACTGGACGGGGAGATGTGCATACACTCTTCCAGCATCCCTCTCCCGCTCTTAGGTCTAAGCACAGACTGTGACCCAGACTGCTGCTTTCTCAGGATTGGCTAGTGTCTTCAGGCAGTTCCGAGGAAACAGGTGCAGTGGCAGAGATGTGCCTGCAGGGGAATTTTTTGAGTGCTCTTAGGAATAACAAAAGTAAGAGAGGAAGACAGAATAGGAGAGTTGGAAATGCTGAGCTGGGGTGTTATATTTATAGAAGAGGCCAGAAAGATCCCCTGGCGGAGGGCATGGCAGCCCACTTCAGTATTTTTGCCTGGGAAATCCCATGTATAGAGGAGCCTGGCGGGCTACAGTCCACGGGGTTGCAAAAGTCAGACACGATTGAATGACTAAAATACCACCACCATCAGAGGCCTTGGCCGATGCTGTGGGGACTGCTGAATCTGGGGTGGCCCTTCAAAGCTGCCCCCAGATGAGGCAAGGCACTAGATTTTTGCACCCCTGTACCCTACCAGCCATGAGTGGGGCTGTACCGGGGGTGAGGCAACTCCCTTCTGCCACTGGTGGTTCCCAGGTTGGGGCTTAGCTGGGAGCCATCAGCAGCCACCCATCCCTCCTGGGGAGTGTGTGCCTTCCTGGATCCTAAGGGAGAGTTGGGCCCATGGCCCTGCAGCCACTACAGTTCAGAAGAGCTGGCTGGATGGCGTTCTGCAAAACATCTCTAAATGATTTTCTTTTGCATGTACTTTCCTCCCACTTCTTCCTATCCTTTCCTCTTAGTTCAGTATCCACAATTGTTTAAATCAGACAGATCTGTTTTAAGAAGCTGACTTTTCACTTAAAAATGTGATTCTGAGCCAATTGCTTGCCTCTTTTAAGCCTCAGTTTGTTTCCTCTGCAAATGCTAATAAAAGAGCCTGGCTGACTCAGTCGGTAGAGCATGAGACTCTTAATCTCAGGGTTGTGGGTTCGAGCCCCACATTGGGCAATCTCTTTTCTTGGGCTTTTCTGCTAGCTCAGTGGTAAAGAATCCTCCTTCAATGCAGGAGATGTAAGAGATCCAGGTTCGATCCCTGAGTTGGGAAGATCCCCTGGAGGTGAGCATGGCAACTCACTCCAGTATTTTTGCCAGGAGATTTCCATGGACAGAGGAGCCTGGTGGGCTACAGTCCAGAGGGTTGCAAAGAGCCGAGCATGACTGAGCCCAGCAGCTTCCACCTCTTCAGGTTAAATGGCATAAAGTGTACCTGGCACTTAGCAAAGAGGATGCACTCGCTCAGTGCTGGCTGGCTCCTGTTACCGCAGTCAGGAAGTGGGAGGAGGAGCAGAGGCCGAGATGTGACGGCCAGCGAGCTTTTTTACTTAGCACTCGTTTACTTATTGTCTTAGTCCACTTGGACTGCTCTGACAGAAATACTATAAACTGAGAGGCTTATAAGCGTTACATGTTTATTTCTCGCAGCTCCAGAGGCTGGGAAGTCCAAGACCATGGCACTGGCCAACTCTCTGTTCTAGGCAAGCTCCCTTTCTGGTTCAGAGGCGGCTGTCTTTTCTCTGATGGAAGGAGTGAGGGGTCACTCTGGAGTCTCTTTTATGAGAGCACTAATCCCATCCATGAGGGGAGTCCTTATGACCTCATCACCTTCCAAAGGCCCAGCATCCTAACCCCATCACAATGGGGGTTAAGATTTCAATGTATGAATTTAGGGGGACACAAGCTGGAATCAAGATTGCCGGGAGAAACATCAACAACCTGGGATATGCAGATGATACCACTCTAAGGGCAGAAAGCAAAGAGGAACTAAAGAGCCTCTTGATGAGGGTGAAAGAGGAGGGTGAAAAAGCTGGCTTAAAACTCAACATTAAAAAACTAAGATCATGCCATCCGGTCTCATCACTTCACAGCAAATAGATGGGGAAACAATGGAAACAGTGAGAGACTTTATTTTCTTGGGCTCCAAAATCACTGCAGATGGTGGCTGCAGTCATGAAATTAAAAGACACTTGCTTCTTGGAAGGAAAGCTATGACAAACCTAGACAGTGTAATGAAAAGCAAAGGCATCATTTTGCTGATGAAAGTCCGCATAGTCAAAGCTATGGTCTTTCCAGTAGTCATGTATAAATGTGAGAGTTTGATCGTAAAGAAGGCTGAGCACTGAAGAATTGATGCTTTTGAACTGTGGTGTTGGAGGAGGCTCTTGAGAGTCCCTTGGATTGCAAGGAGATCAAACTAGTCAATCCTAAAGGACACTGACCCTGAATATTCATTGGAAGGACTGATGCTGAAGCTGATGCTTCAATACTTTGACCACCTGATGCAAAGAGCCTACTCATTAGAAAAGACCCTGATGCTGAGGAAGATTGAAGGCAGAAGAAGAGGGCAACAGAGGATGAAATGGTTGGATGGCATCACCGATTCAATGCACATGAACTTGGGCAAACTGCGGTTGATGGTGAGGGACAGGGAGGCCTGGCATGCTGAAGTTCATGTGGTTGCAAAGAGTTGGACATGACTTGGTGACTGAAGAACAACAAGCCTTCAGCCCATAGCACTTAGCTCTATCATCAATTTATTGTGTTTGAAAAGTGGACCCACAAACTAGCTCTACTTTAATAAAAATCATTTCTATATTAGCATATGTTTATTGAACATTTTGAAAATCACCTTCTTTTTAGTTCACAAATATTTATGGAACATCTGCCATGTACAGAGCATTGACTTACACCACAGTGGGGGAAAACATTGATAATCATAGGCTTGAACTGGAAGCTTCAACCTGGTGATCAGATAAGATAATAAGAACACAGAGAATATAATACATGGTATGACACTAAATATGCCCAATGTGTGTTTGGTCTGAGAAGGCTAATGCTAATTAGATAGTTCTAAGCCAGCTCTTTGAGGAGATGGGTTATGACAGTGGGCTGGTTGAAAGAAGGGATGAGAGTATTCCTGGTGGAAGGCAGTAATTTGTTCAGGGGAACAGAGTGAAGAATTGCAGGGTATATAATGAAAGCAAGAAGGGTTGTTTGGAGAAAAGAGGAAAAGATTGGCAAATAAGGAAAGAAGAGTAGATAAAAATAAGGAAGTGATGGGATGAGGGTTGGATGATACTTTGAACACTGACTAGGTGGACGACCTGGGTTTGATAAGCTAGGCTCTTAAAATGGATTCTGAGGCTTCTTCTCTCTGGGGTCCAAATGGAACAGAAAGTTTCTGGAGTTTCTTAGGTGGTATCACAGTTTAAAAGGAGGCTGTTTCTTCCAGAACAGTATCTCAGAGATTTGTCTAGATGTGCCAAGCTGTGTGTGTGTGTGTGTGTATGTGTGTGCACACTCAGTCATTTCAGTTGTGTCTGACTCTTTATGACCCAGTGGACAGTA